ATAAACTTTTTTGGTAAAGCTCAAAACAAAATGGTAAATCAACAGAATACAGGTAACTCAATTAACTTTGTGTCTGAAAAGTCTTAAGTTTTCCTTTTACCTACTTTCTTTTCCTTTTACAGATTTCCATGAACTTTTCAATTTTTTTTCGTAAATTTTGCGTGACACCGGTTGTTTCCCATGCTTTCCTTTAAATTTTTGCGCGGGAAATTGGTGCGCGGCTGCCAAAATATGTACCCATTTGCGCATGCCCGGCGTTTGACCGCTGTGTTTCTGGGAGTAACCATTTCAGGCATGCGCCATAGATGCAGACTGCGCAGTGAAACTGGATGTGCAGAATTACCAGAATTCGGTTATTTCAAAATGGTTGCTCCCAGAGCTCTCGTTTTCCGACCGCTGGTCAAGGAGAACGAAGACTCTGGGAACGAGATTGGGTGAATCCTTGAGAGAGCGCGGTTTCATCTGCGTTACCATACATTCAAATTCCGTCACGCTTGCGTGTCAAGCGTAGTAACAGAGGGGTGGGTGGAGAAGATGTCAAGGGCGAAATCACACGAGAGCGTGCGAATCCCGATGGGGCAAAAGGGACTGACCACTAATTTAGCTTCATGGGACGTCTTTAAAAAGATATATCAGGATATACACAAGGGGAAAAGTCGCTGTAACATGTTCCTAGGACACGTTCTCGTTCTCGTGTGTGCCATGTTTGTTATAATTGTTTCTGCAGCATATCTTCGCGCTCATTCTCGCGCCTCCCGCGCGCGAGCTCGTCTGCCGCGCTAGAGCCCGCTAATCCGCCTGTTCTGCAGGCTAATCATCTCACCGCTGCACGTGGCGAACGTTGCCACATCATGGGCTCCTCTTGTGAGCAGATATAACTAGATCATTTGCTGCTAACTATCGTTTCAGTATGTCCGTGCAACAAGACTGCTATAGAACGAGCATCTTGCGAGTCTCGATCTAAAAATATCCCTCATTTTGATTGACACAAACTTTCATTTATATTATTTAATATTCAAATGGCGCAAATAAACACGTAGATATGATCAACTAATAGGCCTAAAATTTAGACGCAATTTATTTGTTGAATTTTATTCAACAAATAAAGAAGGCAAAGCCATGTATTACACATGATAAACATGACAGTTTTTGAGAACACAAGATAATTTAGAGACCAACAGCTGCAGGTGAATGTTTTGTGTTCCTTAAACGACCGAAGAAGCTCGAAGTGTTCTACCATATAAGAACGCCTAATTTTGGAGCTGAGGCTGAACATTCTTATTTTTGTTTTTTTTTTTTGCGATTTGAGGCTGAAAACGTTTTTAAGATGTTCTTAAATTTACACGGTACAAAAATAAGGAAGACAGGCCAGCACGGACTCCCTAAATAATAGATGTGATGTGATTACATGTGTCTCTCATAATTTGGCTCTTACGAGCGTGTCTTTGAGAGATCTACCTCTTTTGTAGGCTATAATAGAAGGATTTCTGAGAATGGTTTTCAGCAAAGGCTGATTTTTTGTTAAAGCCCTTAAGTATTTGGGTTGATTTACATTTTTTTTGTTGCCTTTATTTTATGTTTGCCATTTAATATATAGATTAGCAAAATGTAAACGTTCTTAATCGACTCTCAACCTGAGGAATGTTCTTAATTCGTTCTTAAAATAAAGAACGCAAAGCCATGTATTACACATGATAAACATGACAGTTTTTTGTGAGAACACAAGATAATTTAGAAATCAACAGATTAGCAAATATAAACGTTCTGAATCGACTCTCAGCCTGGGGAATGTTCTTTATACGTTCTTAAAATTTGGTTAATCTCAGCCTAAACGTTCTTATAAAAAAGGTTCTTATCGAAAAAAAGAGTGTACCTAACTCTGCCTTCTTGACATTTAAATGGTATGGACATAACGTTTTTTTACAATTCATGGCGCTGAATAATTACATATAAACATAAAAGAATAAATTTCTAAAAGGTCAAGGGATAACTGATCTATCTTTTACTCAGTCGTTAACGACTCATTTGTCGTCAGTTTGTCGTATTCGTTGCCATTAGCCCAGGGTTGTTTTTCACCAGATGCAAACAACACATAAAATATCCCCCCCAAAAGAAAAACCGCATCCATTATGTAGAAAACCGTTCTCCATTCCTCAGCACTCTGTTGAGAAGAAAGAAGAAAGAATTACAATTATATTTGAACTTTAACTCTTATAAAACGGAACTAGCTCGTTTTCAGTCTTTTTCGGTTGTTGTTTCAGTCACTTAGTTGTTTTCTCTTCCAGTCCGTGCTCGGCGCTTTCACTCATTCGCTGGTTTTCGTGTGCTCGACTTACTTAAACGGACAGCAATAGCCCCTCTCAGTACCCCCCTAAGGGCTGGAAATTTTTCCCCTCCCCCACCCCTTTCTGTATATTGGAGCAGTGAAAGAGTGACCTTCACTCTAGGATTTGGGCTCTCCATCTTTTTGAGCGCTTCCTGTTACGACATGGATAATCCTTTGTAAATTTATTAAGTGAAGGCGCGGTGGTCTCATTGTTAGCGTGCACGCCTCCCGTTCGAGCCGTTCGGGTTCGAGTCCTGGCCAAGTACATTGTGTTGTGTTCTTTAGCAAGACACTACTCTCACAGTTCCTCTCTCCACCCAGGTGTATAAATGGATACCGGCGAACGTAATGCTGGGGGTAACCCTGCTATGGACTAGCATCCCATCCAGGGGGAGTAGAAATACTCTTAGTCGTTTCATGTTACTGACACCGGAAGATAAGCTCCGGCCTGATGGGCCACTTGGCTCGTATGCAGACTTTACCTTTACAGTGACTCGTTTTACAGGTGATTTGATCCCAATCGCTGGTCGTGCCAGGGGTCGTGTGTATCATTCAAGCCTCAGATGTATTAACGACATCTAAATTGGACGTATATTCGCGAGTTGACAGTACTTACATGATGTTGAACGATAGCTCCAGTCAGTGTGAGAGACACAATTCCCGCCACTGTTGCTATGGTGTCTGTTACTCCAAGCAAAACACCAGCGAGGGGTGGGGCTATATCAAGATGATTGACATAGTAACCACAGATTGATAATCCATTGAGTCCCATTCCTAGCGCGATTAGTGCTCGAACAATGCTTGAATTAGATGAATAACTTGCTGCTATGAAAAAGACAGCCGGAAAAACATAACCTAGAATGAAAGAGAAATGGAGAAAATGAGGTTATATTCAACTGTATCCTAAGAGGCGGAGTGGCCTAATAGTGAGCTTGAGTGATATGCTTTACTCTTACAGAACCCTTTAACCCAGGTGTTTAAAATAATCGGGATTACAAAAATGATAAAGTCTACCAAGGGTAGCCTGTTATATACTGCATCCATTCCAGGTGGGGAGGAGGGGGAAGATAAGTATTACTGCTGATCGCTTCATTCTATGGTGGAAAGCAGTGTCCTGTTGAGGTCCATATTCAGCGTCAGAATCAGTCAAGATAATTTCCATTTCATTATTCTCAGAACAAAGGGCGTTTGGTTCGCAACCAAGACACAGACTATAGTTGCCTTTTCGAGTCTATGATAAACCTAACCGGGCGTCAATTGACACCTCGCCGCACCCTGTACTGCATTTTGACACAGCTGTATGTAATTAATCTTCGTTTTACTTCAAGGCTGATACAAAAATGATGATATGACAGGCGTACGGGCCGGGGGAGCGATGAAAGGGGGGGTGCTGCAGCCCCCTCAGTTTCAGAATTTTTGAAATTTTCGGGCAAAACGCTGATGATTTGGGCAAACGTACTCGGGAGAAAACATTCTAAAAGGTTGTCAAGACCAGGCTTGTAGCCTACTTGTCAAAACAGAATAGGCCACGTTCAATATATCAATATTTTAACATGGCTCCGAGGCTTTCAGGACAAACTTCTATATTTGGTGTTTTTTTTCTTTGTAGCCAAGTCTCTTTTAGGAAATGAGAGAAAAAAAATTTACACTTTTGACCCGAAAGCCTCGTAGCCATGTTAGAGTACTGATATATCGAACGTAGCCTATCAAAGGGATAGTTTCACAGTTCGACGCATGTTCAATGTGTGATGTAGCCGCATCCAATTCCATTGTTTATAAACCAATCAGATGCGAGTACATAACTCGTTCGTCTGGTCCAGAATAAACGGTTCGGCCCGAATAACAAATTCGCTGTTCAATTCTAAATTCGCCATTTTCTGTCTAAATCCGCTTACATCTTCCGTACAATTTGGACATCAGTCATTCTGCTGGCCTTCGTATAGCCGTGTAGCTACTCAAAGGCTATCCTTTGATTACGCTTTCACAAATTTATAGTCTGTGATTTTTGAAATACGTCTTTGTTGATACGAAAACGAAAATGTGCTTTATGCATGGAGTCGGAACATACGAAAGGAATTCCAATGAGAATTCTCACGTATATCGTCAGGTTTTTGCGACTGACCACGCAATTTACAAAGGTAAATTTCACGCAAGAGTGATTTGGTTACATATTTACATAGATTACATAATCCTATTTCTTTTTTTTTCTTCTTTTATACAATTTTGAGTTCACGCACACGTTTTAACGAGCGCTTGCGCTCCTAGGTGTCGCGTGGTTAAATAAAGTATTGTTGTTGTTGTTGTTGCACGCTTCCGATTGCTTTTATAAGAAATAAAATTGAACGATTAACGTTATAACTTGCGCATGCGCCTAGCCGCGAAACCCTCCCTTTAAGGTGGCTTCATAGGGTAATCATTTATGGCGTTGTGCGCGCAACTTGAATGTTTTGAATGCTGTTTTTGCATTCGCTTTTACACCCAGTCCCCTAAACTTATTACATGTAATAAGCAATGATTAAATAGTGTTGTACTATCATCTCTGTTAACATTTTGAGCTTTAGTCTTGAATTATAAATGCCTACTTTTGTTTTTGTAGTGGCTCTGAAAGGAGGCGTTTTAAATGGCTCCACAAAGAGCCGTTTTCAAATTTTCTTGACCTTTTCGTACGAGAAAGAAAGAATTATCGGTTTCTTTATAAGTTCCTGATTTTACTAGGCTGTCGATCGAGGTCATAGAGTATGCGGGGTTTCAAAGTAACTACTTTTGGAGTGATAACAGTTTTATTAGGCGTGAGAATTGTGAACGTTTTTGTTTTTACTGTGATTTGGGTGCGTTTCAACAACACTCACGCTTTCGGGCATTGTGTAATTTTTTCGGGTAATAAGGTCACCACCCCACCCCCCTCCCCAAGGCCGAAGGTGCCCGTACACCTATGATGAGTATAGACACGAGCCTGAGGCAACCCTCTCAGTGTAGCGGAATTCTAGGTGCAGCTATTTTTTACTTTACCAAGTGCAGTGAAGATCTTTCTGACTGTTCCTGTACTGCAGATGCTTTGTTCCCGAAGATAGTCCGCTAATTGCCCTCCAATCAATACAACAAAAAACGTTACCAAGAAAGGTACGGTGGATGCAATAGTTGCCTGTTAAAGAGAAATCAATCACCTTAACCCCTTGAACACCATGATGAAGATGCGAATTCTCCTTACTGTCTACGAAGTTTGGAAATATCAAAGCAACATACCGTATTCTAACTGAGACATATACTAGAGGTTTCAACTGAATTTAACAATTAAATGTTGAGCTCCCGGTTTCTGTTGACTATCAAAGTTGATAGACACTGAGGTAAGGCCGACCGACTGGTTGGTTTTAGTTTCTATCGACTTTGATACTTTGCTAGGGCCGAAGCTTCCCTCGCTGACTACATATCAGACGATAGAAACTTCGAGCTCGCCGTGCAACTGATCAGTAAATATCAATCCTAGTACCGTTTCCCAATACCCATGTTGTTGTCCCATGGACAAACGCTGTAGTTAGTTTGTGAGCTATCGAGCGGAATCATAGCTCCGCTTCCCAGCTTAGTGTCTCGGGTTCTTTTATGATGCTCCATTTGAATTTTTTGAGTTATACCTTTACAATTAGCTTTTTTATGCATAATTTAACATATTACACTACAAATTTCATTAACTGATCTTCAAGGTGTTTTCTTTACCTCGTTGAGGTTGAAATTGAATCGTTTAATGTAAAATATAGGAAGTTCTGCGACCATGGTGTATAAACCCCACCCATGAGTGAAATGCGCCACTATGATTGCCCAAACTGGAAGGGAAGTGAAGATTGATTTCCAAGGAATTAGAACATCCTGCAAATGAGATAAGCGAAAAAAACAAATTAGCGAGCAAACGAACGAATGTATGAACGAAGGAACGAAGGAACGAAAGAGCGAAGGAACGAAGGAACGAAGGAACGAAGGAACGAAGGAACGAAGGAACGAAGGAACGAAGGAACGAAGGAACGAAGGAACGAAGGAACGAAAGAACGAAGGAACGAAGGAACGAAGGAACGAAGGAACGAAGGAACGAAGGAACGAAGGAACGAAGGAACGAAGGAACGAAGGAACGAACTAACGAACGAACGAACGAACGAAAGAAGGAAAGGACGAACGAAAGAATATATGAATGAACGAATGAACTAACGAACCAACGAACCAACGAACGAAGGAAAGAAAGAACGAAAGAACGAATGAACGAACGAACGAATGAATGAATGAATGAATGAATGAACGTGTAACGCTTGCGGCGACTTAAAAACTAGTCAAACTTCGAGGTGTGTCGCTTAAAGGCGTGTCTGCTAAGGCGGGTCGTCTGCGAGGTAGCAAGAATCACGGAAAACCAAGTTGACGGTTAACGGCGATTTATTGCTTCAAATAGTAACGATCGTAAACTGAAATAATAATATAACGAATTTCTAATCAATTTACTTGAAATGCTGCGCAACATAAGATCAAGGGGGCGTGTAATAATCTACGTGTCTACGTCGATAACGCGACAAAATAACAACGAACAACGTAAATTAACATAAACAAATCATTATAAACTACGTTAAAACTACTCGAGATTGCATAAACAATCAAAAGATGAACATTTGCGGCTGATCAACAGCCCAGAATAGCGTAGTCTTAAATGTGGGCGTTCACTAAATAAGGCTCTAATTTATGCGATGTTCTCTTTTTGAATCCAAGACAATCAAAATTGTGTTATGTACGATTCTGTACATATATCTGCTTTAGCCCAAAATATAACAAACTAAATCTAAACAAACTAAATAAGACTACGAAAATCACTTACATATCGGTCCCGCTTGTGCCGAGGTTAGGAAACGAAGAACAGCAAAGGTACTACTGATCAAGGCGAAATCTTACGAAACTCTGTTAAAAGGACGCTAACTAGCTTTTATATGCGCATGGTGACGCTAAAAGCTCCGATTACAAAACCAATAGGAAACTAGATAAGCATACGTAAACATTGTAACTAAGTTCGTTATTAAGACCTAGGCACGCAATCAAGCTAATCGATAATTGATCTAATAAAAATTGAGACTTTGTCTAGTATCCTCAACAGAACGAATGAATGAGAGTAGTAATTGGTAACTGATTTTTGTTATCACTAAGCAATACTCTTACGTAAGTATGTTTTTATCCATACCTTACTCTGTAAATCCCCTGCTAAGCTAAGTTCTATGTACTCCACTTCTTCTTTTTTGATCCATGGCTGCTCTGAAGGTGAATTTCTAACCATCAGTAGCCACATAAGAGACCAGAGAATCCCGCTTGCACCTGCGGAGAAAAATCAATCACATTTCACACTACTACACCGCACTAGTGCTAGCAATGAGAGGCGCCTCATTGATGAAAGACAAGCGCCCAAAGTATTCCCGATTTCTAATGAATCATGCCAGACTACAGTCCGAAGAGTTTCCGACCCTTCATGTATGATAAGAAAGAAATGCCACTGAGAAGTGTTTCTGCAGAAATTAAACAGCACACGAAGAAAAAAGAGCCGTCCGATTCAATGTTACTGTATGCATGATCCTAAAGACTATTTCCAAACGTTTTCAATCGAAATTTATGTGTCGATCCGAAAATAGTGTCCAATTGACGACACTGTCTGAAAATCTGTATTAGTTGTCGTTGTATAAATGAGCCAGTACTTACCAGAAACATAAAATATCATGGGCCAGCCATAGTAATACGCAATGTAGCCGGACAGATACAAGATAAGAATGATTCCCAGGTGACCTCCTACAGAAACAGGTCGAAAAACGAATCAGTGATCACACTGCTGAATCAGAAAGTTATATATACCGTGATGTGACCTGCTAGTTTACCTCTTGTGATTTTACGTACCTACAGCCGTCCTGATGTTATTAAAAAAACTCTTATATAATCATTAGAACGAAGAATTGTTTCTGAAAATTGGAAATTTGGATAACTGAAAAATTTAAAACTCATGGTTGTCATGGGAACTCCTCAAATGGCGGACAGACACTTCTGACTTCAAAATACTCGTGAGGGGTAAACTGAAACAATTATGGAACGTTTTAGCAAGGACTCAGAATGCCAATGTTTTGCACAATCGGAAAAAATCTCAGGAGGGGTTCCACTCTTCTCACACTGTGTCCGATGAAGGTTAAAGTATGAAAGTTAAAGTCTGTGTACTTTCTTGTACGTTTAAGTGAGAGAGAAGTGTTAGTTTGATACATTTAACTGCATTGTGCTTATTCCGTCTGGAATCGTAAAAGAAAGGACGGACCTCGTTCTAAACTTACCTGCGTAGTTGAGCGTTCCAAGTTTGCTTCTCTCTAAAGGAGGTGCCCATTTACTCCACAGTGCGTGTCCAGCTGAAAAAACCAACCCCTAAGAGATTTAAGATCACAATAAAGATTAGTAAAATAATGGCAGCCGCCCATTGGAAAACGTTTTTGGCTCTTATAGAAAAAAGGTCAAACACACAAATTGTACACGTTTCTTGTGCGTGTTTAGCAAACACACTTTCTTTTCCTGATTTAGGCCCCGAAACGTCCAATCAGCCGGACAAATTTGAAAACGGCGTTTTCATTCTGAAAATGCAGCAGATGTTTAATATTAAAACGCAGCAATCACTGGCCATTTTGAATTTGTGTTTGAGCGAAACTCTGACAAAGAAATCACCTGATTATCGTGACGTCATCGTTTTCGAAAAGCTCTGTTTTCAAAATGTTCTCCGTCCACACTAAAACGCAAAGCCGGCGTTTTCAAATTCCTACGGTTTTGAAGAGCACTTTCAGAAAGCCCCGTTTTATTTCGTGACGGATTTTTGTGGACGGGAGGCCTAACCGCAGAAGAAAAAGCTGGATTATCAAATTTCTTCGGTGTAGCGTGGACAGGGGCCTTACACAACTCTAGTAACAACAACGATGATAATGATAATCACTAGAATAACCATAACACACAACTTATCTTTTTCATTTAACGGTCAGTACTTATCTAAACATTAACAAAAAAAATCCTAAAACCTTGCAGTACAGGCAACTTGAACTAACTACTTCGACAAGCAAAACTCGTCAGCTGGCCTTAAAGGCAGTACAAATCCGAGCGCGTTCTTACCTGAGCCGCGCCTATTGCGATCCTCAAGGCCATAAACATTGCCACGTGCATCCGCGCAGCTAGAGGGGTGAAGAGTGTCAGGACGCCGTTGAGACCTACAGCTATGCCAATCACTGTGGCGCCGCCGAATTTTCGCGCCAAATGTCCTCCGGGCAAAGGCGTGATTATGTACCCGAAGTAGAATGCACTAAAAATAATTCCTGCAAATAGAGAGAGAATAGAAGCAGGTACATGTCAACAGGAGTGCCAATGCGAAAAAGTGTTCGTAGACTAGGTTCCGATTAATTTGGTTTTGAATGTAATTAATGGAAGAGACTCATTCGCTCTATCTGATCGATGACTAGTTCACTCTTGCACGAATTTTATTAACCGATAACCAAGTTCACTGCAAACGCAAAATCAAAGCCAACATATCTTTCAGTTATAAGTCCAAGGGCTTTGAGACCATGAAAAAGTTACCTCGAACAATGTTTTTCCCAAGCTGGGTTTTTTCATTTGTCAGTTAAGTCTATATGGTTGCTATATACGAAAGATTTTGAATCCATGTGAGAGTAAGCTAGATTAATCAAATGAACTTAAATCATGCTCGAACACTTTGATCAAATTGTTGTTTGCACAGACCTGACCGCAACTTAATGTTGTCAGCAGGAAAGCAGCCTGCTCTACAGGCATCTAGAAGTAATTAGGAAGCGCGAGTTATTGTTGTGAGCTCGCTATCGTTTACCAAGCGGCCATGTTCGATTTAGGGTGAGCGGTGATCGCCCCTTTCGCTTGTCGCCCACCTCCTCGGTAGAAATTTCATTATCTCCCCAACCTTCCTCTGCTTTAAAAATTCCAAATGGCGGCCAAATATTTTGCGAAGAAATTCTGAGTTTTTGTCCGCTAAAATAAGCCAGTACTGCAGGCTACCAGGAAGTAGTCTAGAGGCGATTTAAAAGATAAACCTTAAAATGATATTTACGCATCGATGATAGAAAGGTTAATAGAACAGGATGAGCTGTAAAAAACAGACAGAATCTGGCGCACCTTGTGTTGTAGTGCTCCAAGAGAACTCCGCAGATTCCTACATCAGATGAAATTATAACGTGTAAGCTTTCAGCAAAGAACAGAGCAATCAACAACACAAATCAAAGTAAAGTGGAAACGAACGGCAACAAGGAAGATTTATATTTCTCCGACCTCCGATTTGTTTCTCTACTGCATCTCAGTAGAGATGCAGCTCGGGGACTCAATCCTATATCTGTCACAGCTTTCCATATGAGAAGATAGCAAGGAAGTCATAACCATGGTGGAGTTTGAATACCTGATCTTGATAAGCTTAGATTCTTTCAGTTTTATCTATGCGTCTTCCCCTTCGTTTTAGTTTTACTCGAGAAGATATATCAAACAAGAGAGACCACGCATGGTTTACGAGATCTCATAACACTTCCTAACACTTTGCTGCTCTCTTCTCAACGTTTGGAAATGCGGTAAAATACGGACCCTCATTTTTGATATTTTACTTTAAGCTTACGAGAAATAGCGTTGACTGGAAAGATTTGCTGCGATCAAGCTAATTCAAACAACCAAAATCTGGAACTTCTAGCAACCGCTAGCGATCATCAGTCAGGGAATTAAAAGGATGTTAGCCGAGAGTATATTTGTTCAGAGTATTTTGACAGATTAAGAAAGTTTTGAGTTTCGTTCTCATTCAGCAATCTAAATCAAATTACCTGCACTTCTTTGCCACCTCTCATGACAGTTAGATCAGCGACCATCACGGCGAGGCCCATACTGAGATTAACACGCATGGCGTACACATTAGCGAATCCCAACATGAGAAATGCACCAATCATGTAACGCACTGAAGGACAAAACCTTGCGTTACACGGACATGGATTCCATGATTGCGCTACTTTTCGGTTGCTTCCTCTAAAAGAGCTGTGATTTCGGCTTTTTGTGGAGTCCATTACAGCTGACCTTTGTCCGGATTAACACATTTTTGTCTCCGATATCATTTCCTATTAAGGAAACAAAACGGTTTGAAGACTTGGCAAGAATTCCCAGAGCCACCTGTCCCTCTTGGCTGGCAAGGCCAGAGAGGCACATGATTTTATTGGCTAGGTTCTTGGCTAGGTTCTTGGACTCAATTGTTCAATGTTGGTTTCCGTTCGGAAAATATACCTCGGTTGATCTCTTGCTTAAACCGTTCGATTACAGTACCTACCTATCAGAAGAAAACGTCTGGCCGGAAGTGATATTCATGTTTGGCCATGGAGGACTTCGCTGTAAGTTCTCAGATCCCATAAGTCAGTTTTAAACTTAAGTATTCCGTGAGAAATGGCACACGCTCTTTTTTTTTATATAAGAATATTGGAAGGAGCTTTTTTTTTTTTGCCGAGACTGAATAGTTTTATGTTTCTGCCGATTTTCTGTTTTCGAATGTATTTGGTGTCTGGATGGTGTTAAAGTAATTTTGGAGCCAGCCTGATATGACGCACATAACTCCTTGCAGAAATGTTTTTAGTATCAAACATACCGCTAGTGCTGTTTTGTTACTTTTTGGCTAGTTTTGCCGTTTAGAGAAGGGAAGAAATTTATACGGTTTAGTTAAAAACAAGTAATTGTACAGTATTTACAAATTGTTATCCCACAAAATTATGTTCTTTTCAAAATCTCAGCCTCGGTTTATTCTTAAAATATTCTTAAAATTTCGCAAATTTCAGCCTCGATATTCTTATAGAACATATTCTTATAAAAAAGAGAGAGTGTAAAGCGTGTTCACATACATACACTCTTATTGTTGGTATTAATAAAATGATACATTGACATTGTGTTAATCTCAAGAGGTGAATTTTTGAGCAGTGGCTACTTCAGTTCCTGTAAAATGTCATTTAAAAGTCATTTTATTAAAAGTGTTGGCTTTTGCATTTGACATTGGAACTTAAAACCTTTCGTTCCGAAAGGAAAAGAGCACTCGTAAGCAGCAACCCCTTTTAGCAGTGACTTCAAATGTAATTCGAATTTTTATAAAAGAATAATGGAAATTACAGATAACCATGTAAACATATTCATTATACCGTACTGAATGATGTAAATTAGTCTTAATTCTTTTTAGTTACTTCTATCTTTTAGTGGCTAAATTACCATACGGTAAAATCCCACTTTAAAGCCCTGGGCTTATATAACTTCCTAAGGGGTTTTGAATGGGCTTATAAACCGGGGGGGAGGCGTATATCCCGGGGGGCTTATAAGCGGAATAAAAAAAGTGTTTCGGAATGACGAGATAAAACGTATCTGAGAAGCGAATTAAATCTAACATACCTTTACATTTAGAGCTATTATTACCCCATTATTACCCTATTATTACCCTTTTACCCTATTAGCCTATAACTTTCGATTAAAAAATTTTGATCTTTGTAAAGAAACGCCAAAGGAACGCACTTATACAATAGATGGGCCTATATATATCCGGGGGGCTTATATCCGGAATAATATCTTTGTTAGCAAATAGAAGGGCTTATAACAGGGCGGGGGGGGGCTTATAACCGGGGGAGGGGTGGCTTTAAAGTGGGATTTCACGGTATTTTTTTTCTATAAACAACAGAACTAGTCTTGTTCACGCTGAAAAAGAATTGGGGCACGTTCTCTACAAACGAAGTTAAGATTATGATAAACATTTTAAGCACATAAAATGTTCACATTTTACGTGTCAGTGATGAGTATTTTTTCATATATACATGAGAAGATCGCAATGAAATATATCTGCTTATGTTGTACCAATATTTCAAGCACCTTAAGTAACGCAGACCTTCCGAGGGTGACGATAAAAAAGGTTTGCTAAATTCAAAAGTAGAGCGGTTCGTCAATTTAAGATTCTCTGAAAGGTGGTCAGTAGCTGACGCAACGGACGAATTAGCCTAGCAAGAGTTGCATTATTTGTGGCTGGCTCAATCAGCCCAAATAACTAGAAACTTACTGAATATCGAATGTATCAGTTCGTCATGTTCTATTAGATGGGTTTTTCGTGTTCTATTGAAGAAAAACCGTTTTCCTTTGGTTTGGTTGAGCAACCTTTTCAACCGGTCTCAAACCTGGTTGAAACGGTTGTAAAAGCATTTCTGTGGTTATGTCGCGTGATTGTAGCTCGCGTAAGGGCTGTTCCCAGGTGTTAAGGCGTTTCAATTTGGGTTCAATCTATAAAACGGTTGGAAAGTCAGGGGCACCCAACGACCGTTTTCTCTCGAATGCTTTTAAACGCTGTTTTAGGCTATCTGGAGTACTTTTAAAGCTCTGTAGGTTAATTCTAGGTTGCGCTAAAAAAAATTTTATCTGTTCGGTTATTCTAGGGGAACTTGGGTATTCTCGAATTTATTAGGGCTTTTTTGTCCGTTCCCCGAAAACCTTAGGTCTTATCCCCTTTCCGAAAAT